GACTCCAACTCAAAAAAAAAAAAAGAAAAGAAAACACTTCTCTTTTCTTCTACCTTTTCTTATCACAAGCCATTAGGCAGTAACAGGTTCCAAAAATAATTGTGCCTTTCAGAAATTTAAATATTATGGCTGAGACCCATAACAACGATCAACAATGTTATTTAACATAAGGAAATTCTGCCAGATGATTCTATATTACTTCACAGTGGGGCAAAGAAATAAGGCTAAGTAAAAAATGTCAAAGGATTCACGACTACTCAGACTGTTTTATATAAATGGTCTATCTCCTTCTTTTGTTTTTGTTTTGTTTTGTTCGAGTCACGGTCTCACAGTCCCCAGGCTGGAGTGCAGTGGCACATTCATGGCCACCGCAGTCTCGACCTGCTGGGCTCAGGCAATCCTTCCCCGTCAGCCTTCCAAGTAGCTGGGACTACAGGTGTGCGACCACGCCTGGCTAATTTTTTGATTTATTGTAGAGACGAGGATTTGCTATGTTGCCCAGACTGGCCTCGAGTCCCTGGGCTCAGGCAATCCTCTAGCCTCTGCCTCCCCAAGTGCTGGGATTACAGATGTGAGCCACGACGCCTGGCTTCTCTCTTTTTTTAATTTTTTTATTTTTGAGTCAGGGTCTCAATCTGTCACCCAAGCTAGAGTGCAGTGTCATGATCATGGCTCACTGCAGCCTCAACCTCCTGCAGCCTCAGCCTCCTGAGTAGCTGGGACTACGGGCACGCACCACCACACCCAGCTAACTTTTTGATTTATTGTTGAGATGAGGTCTCGCCAAACTGCCCAGGCTGGTCTTTAACCCTGGGCTCAGGCAATCCTCTCGCCTCAGTCTCCGAAAATGCTGGGATGACAGGCATGAGCCATGGCGCCTGGCTACGGCCTTTATTTTCAAAAGTTTTGTTGTTACAGTAAAGATGCACAATCAGAAATCCAACTGCAACTCCCTTCAATGCAAACTTTGGTTTATTTCAGAGGCTGAGCTCTGCCGTCCACTGCTGCTTGATTCAAAAGGAAAGTGTTCAGCAGTTCAGAAGGCGTCTCGGGCCACAGTTGATGGTAATTACAGAATGCTTTAGGGCATGGCTAGTTCACAAAGGCCAGGCAGACCTCCTAGAGATAATCCCATCGCCTTTGGCCAGCGTTCAGCTCTGTGGCAGGTGACTACCTCTTCCTGTTTGAAAATGAATGAGCACAGCCCTTCTAAATACCTATTTTTTTTTTTTTGAGTTGGAGTCTCCCTCTGTCGCCCAGGCTGGAGTGCAGTGGCACACTCCCGGCCATTGCAGCCTCAAACTGCTAGGCTCAGGCAATCTTTCCATTTCAGCCTTCCAAGTAGCTGGAACTACAGGCATGGGCCACCACGCCTGGCTTTTTTTTAACTGAAGAGATAAGGTCTCACCAAGTTGCCCAGGCTGGTCTCGAACATTGAGCTCAGGCAATTCTCTTGCCTCTGCCTCCCAGAGTACTCGAATTACAGGGAAGAGCCACTACTCCCACGCCCCAATACCTTTTATTTTTCTTATTTTTTATTTTTTGAGTCAGGATCTCAGTCTGTCACTGGGCTGGAGTTCAGTGGCACAATTATGGTTGACCAAAGCCTTGACCTCCTGGCCTCAAGCAGTCCTCCTCCCTCGGCCTCCCAGAGTGCTAGGATTACAGGCATGAATCACCACACCCTACCTAGATGACATTTTATAAAGGTATTTAGGTCAGGCCTGGTGACTCATGCCTGTAATACCAGCACTCTGGGAGGCCGAGGCAAGAGGATTGCTTGAGTCCAGGTGTTCAACAACAGTCTAGGCAGTATAGCAAGACTTTGTCTCTACAAAAAAAATTAGCCAGGCATGGTGGCACATACCTGTAGTCCCAGTTACTCAGGAGGCTGAAGTGGAAGGATTGCCTGAGTCCAGGAGGTCGAGACTGCGGTGAGCCATGATTGTGCCACTGCACTCCAGTCGGGGGTGATAGAGTGAGACTTCAACTTAAGAAAAAAAAATAGATAACTATGCCAGCACTTTGGGAGGCCAAGGTGGGAGGATTGCTTGAACCCAGGAGTACAAGACTAGCCTGGGCAACGGAGTGAGACCGCCAGCTCTATTTTTTAAAAATTATTATTATTTTGAGTTGGAGTCTCACTCTGTCATCCAGGCTAGAGTGCAGTGGCACGATCACGGCCACCACAGCCTCGACCTGCTGGGTTCAGGCGATCCTTCCGCCTCAGCCTTCCGAGTAGCTAGAACTACAGGCGCGTGCCACCATGCCCGGCTGATTTTTTTTATTTATTTATTGTAGAGATGAGGTCTCACCATGTTGCCCAGGCTGGTCTCGAACCCGTGGGCTCAGGCCATCCTCTCGCCTCAGCCTCCCAAAGTGCTGGGATTAGAGGTTTGAACCACTGCGCCTGGTCTAAATTATTTTTTTTAAGTATTTAAATAACAGCCTGGGCATAGTGATTTATGGTTGTAATCCCACCACTTTGGGAGACCAAGGTACAAGACTAACTTGAGGTCAGGAGTCTGAGACCAGTCTGGGTAACATATCGAGACGCCCATCTCTATGAAAGAAAGACGAGAGAGAGAGAGAGAGAGAGAGAGAGAGAGAGAGAGAGAGAGAGAGGAGAAGTGGAAAGAGAGAAAAAGAAAGAAAAAGGAAAAGGAAGTAACAAGCCAGGCATCATGGTGGCACATTCCGGTGGTCTCAGCTACCCCAAAGGCTGAGGTAGGAAGATCGCTTATGCCCAGGATTTCAAGGCTTTACTGAGTCATGATTGCTCCCCTGGACTCCAGCCTGGGCCACAAAGTGAGACCCTGTTGCTTAAAAAAAAAGAAAAAGCTGCCCCTGTGAACCAGGACAGCCCATGAGGTGATGCCCTTGGGATCACAGCCTGCGTCCCACTACTTTATCCCCAGGAACCATCGTTCTTACCTGGTGATGAAACATCTATCTGCGAAACCTATAAGAGCCTGCTGAAATAGCTTGCTTGACCTGAGTAAGCAACTCCGTTTTGTAACGGATCTTCCATCCTAGCCTAGAGATGACCCCCTTCGGTGACCTTCTCGTAGTCATACTGCACACCCACATTCCTGTGCCCCTCAGTGATTGGAAACTCCCGAGTTGTGTGAGTTCTGCAACCATCCGTACCCCTTCCTAATTATATGGTTTGCCAAGAAATATCAAACTGTACGGCTTATGTAATGTTTACCTTTAAAAACCCACTGTCACTCTGTTCGGGGTCGAGAGTTCTTTGGGACACTAGTCTGCTCCCGGTAGTCGGCGTCAATAAAGGACTCATAATCTGACCTTCTCTGCGTGTTGGAGTCATTTCTCGCAGTCCAGCTATATCAGCGACTACCAGAGCGCAAGCCGTGCTCTCTGAGAGAAATCACAGTGCAGAAGCTACACGTTCATTGGAAACCATCTGCCTTACGGGAGAAATTGCCGCTTCCCCTCTCCTTTGCAGAAGCAGAAGCAAGAAGTGTTCCACTTGGCTCCCAGTCTGAACTTGGGGAATAAATGGACCTGAGCACTAGAATGATCCATGCAGTTATCCTCGAGGATAATTAAACACGAAGCAGCCAGGTGTGGTGGCTCACACCTGAAATCCCAGCATTTTGGGAGGCAGAGGTGACAGGATTGCCTGAGCCCACGGGTTCAAGACCAGCCTGGGCAATTTGGTGAGACCTTATGTCTACAATGAATCAAAAAATTAAAGTTGGGCGGGTGACTCAAGCCTGTAATCCCAGTTCTTGTGGAGGCTGAGGCAAGAGGATTGCCTGAGCCCAGGGTTTCGTGACCTGCCTGAGCCCAGGGATTTGAGACCCGCCTGGGCAACTTGGTAAGACCTCGTCTCTATAATATATCAAAAAATTAGCCGGGCGTGGTAGCGCACGCCTGTAGTTCCAGCTACTTGGAAGGCTGAGGCAGAAGGATCGCC